AAAAACATTATAATTTAATTCGAATTTGTGACAACTTATCCGAATATGTACAAAAATTTCAGATTTTAAAATCATATAAATTATTTAACAGTAAAAAACTATAAATGATTGCTACGGTATCTGTAGTCTGCTGGTTTCAGGAGAGGCCGAATCAACAAAATGGCAGGAAGTAGCCCAGCTAATTTAAATTTGAATGTGGCTTGATTCGACTCTCAATTTGTTGAAGCAAAAAAATCTACTATGACTGCATCCGCCTAATGAAACCAGAAAAACTAATTAGATCTACCAAAATTTGAAATTTTGCCAATACTTTTTCTCAATTTTAATTGGGGGTATTGTTAAGCTCAGCTAAAATTGCTTTGGTGTTTTATTTTCCCAAGTTTAGCTCTTTTGGAAATATTTTTCGAAGCCCCTGGCTCTGAATTGTACATATTTATGTCCAACAAATAAAATGATATGGAAACATGCAGGCTCCCAACAAATATTGCTTCCAAGCCAAAGGAAATGATGGCGTGGGCTTTGGAAAATGCAAAATTTATTTATTTATTTTATTTATTTAATGTCTTTCAAAGCATTACCAAAACGATTTCTCTTTTGGTTCTCTTCTTGTGCTCTAAGAAGATTTATAATCGGCTACATTCAATTCACTGACTAGCTGCAACTTTTTCTTCCTTTCAAATTTGTTTGTGTGCTTCAAAGTTTCTTCTTTGCAGCTAGGACTGAGATTTCCTTTTTCTAATTTGGCCTTAAGAGGCGTAGTTTTATTTTTGTTTTTTGTTGAAGAGTTTCAGTTTTTTTTTGTATCTCTGGCCGTCTATAAGGGGACTCCACTGTTCGATTTATCCCAGTGGGGAATCCAAGGAGGTAAAAACTTTTTGCAAGTCAGGTAAATTATTTTGAATGCACACTTTGTATTTTAAATTTGTATTTATCTCTCATTTGAGAGATATTTACCAAAATTGCATGTCGATTATTTCTTGTGTAATTGTCTCTAATTAAATCCAAGTGTAGACCTATTCGTCACCTTCCTTGGCACTGACCTTTCTACAGTTAAACGTTCCTGAATTGGTACTTAGGAAACATAGGTTCTTAGTCCCACCGCAAAAACAAAACCCAACCACTTTCCTCTTACGAGAAGTTGTCTTCATAAGCGATTGTCACTTATCCCCCACACTACCGGAAAGTATGCAACCGTTTTTGTCTTAGGTCCTTCATAGAATTACATGGACACTCCGCCCTCGTATTTCCGCTGATGGTGGGACGAGCCATTTTGCAAATGACAAACATGTCTGCTTACATACTGCTCTCGGATGTCGGTCTGGGAAGTCTTAGGGATTTTCCACGGCACATTGAACATATCCGTAGCACAGTCAAAAACATTGTTTGTTCGTCAAACGCAGTGACAGGGTCCCCGTTTTTTTCCCTCCACTCCGTCTTGCTCTCTCTATCTCACTATAGTATCCCTCTATCAAGTCTTATATGCAAACATTTGTTTTACCCTTTGCCCAACGTTTCACTTCAGCTATCCTTTCTCTCACACATTTTTTCTGGTGCTCACTTTGCTGTCAGAATCAGATGCCTTTAAGCTGCTTGCTGTACTCGTATGTCGCATGAAGATGTCTTGGGGTCTCTTAAGCTTCAAGTGTGCTCATACTTGTGGGAACAATTAGGGGATTCAACTCGTCGCATGTATTTTGAATCTGTGTGAAAAATTGCAACAGAAATCTCAATGCAAATACTTGAAGAAGTGACAGAGTCCTGTAATGGAGAAATTTGTTTGCATTCAGCAGCTGAGACTGCTGCCCCGAATAGTCATCATCATCATCATTCCCTTGACTAATTGTTTCTCCAACATTTCACGCAGACAACTTGTTACGAAAGTTTATGTCATAAGGCGGGCAAAAGTTTTCCTTACTAATCAGGCAAGTTGGTGATAAGAACACGTACTGTAGACAGAGAGGGAGACAGCGAGAAAGCCTTAAATGATAGCTGAGAGCTCGAGAAATCCTTATTAATCACAGCAAAATGCAAAAAGCAATTTGGTATTCTGGTGTTCTTAACTGTTAACAGCTTTTGGCTTTTAGAGCAGCTCCAGTGAGCACGTGACGTTGGCCAAATAGAGGTGAGAGTCGGTCCTGGTCCACGTCCGTCTGTGTGTGGGTTAGCCACATATGCACTTTACTTTTTGCGGGTGTTCCCTGGAAGCCAAAAAATGTTGAACAACTCGCAACAACATCAGAAACTTTTTAATCCCAAGTCATGAAGAAAAAAGTCACACACGAAAACAAGTGGAAAATGTTTTGCTGAAATTTTCAATTATTGCAATATGCCAAAGAAAAATGTAATTAGATTGCTTTTGGAGTATTGAAATGTGTGTGCCGGCTGATATAATTACGAACAAATTCAATTTTATTTACCATTCGATTCAATTATATTTTCAATTTCGATTCCGTTTGGGGCTGCCATCTGAGGCCCAGTCAGCCAAATAATGGCTAATTGCAAATGCACTTAGCACCCAAAATACGAGTACAGATGCAGAAACGAATGCAGAAACATTCAATCCGATACATGCCCATTTGCATGCTGATAGCACTTGAACACTCGAAGTGGCTTGTGCAAAATGGCCTACAACATTCGACTCTGATTGAGCAACTTTGCTTTGAGTAGGGGATCTTCGGCTCTAGAGCTCCACCCAGACTGCAATGGCAATCAAGTGCCTCATGTGTTCCCACTGAAAGCCAATCCAATACCCAGCCAAGGCTATGCTTCTACTTTGTTTGCATTTCCTGCTTGCGAATAACTAAACGAAATTTAGCGAAAACTCGCCAACAATCGTTGCTCAAAGTTGTTCCTTTCTTTTTAATTTTTTTTTTATTTAGTTCAGGGTAAACTTTGGCCTTTTGTTTGGATTTCTAATGCGGGGGAAGGCATACTGTTCATTTTTTGAAGGTGAATATTCAAAAATCAATTATGGAATGTTTTTATGAATAAGAAACCCACAAAGGGGTTGTCGCATTGTCTTCCCATGGCAATCTATCGCAAAGAATAGATTTCACGAGCTAGAGATTCTAGCCTGGTCCGAAAAATGTAATTCTTACTTTAGTCTACCCCAACACTAAATTTGCACTCCTTTTATTTGTGTGTGCGTTTAATTAAGATCTCAAGTGTTTTGCGGCACCAAAGTTGCGGTTTGCAAGCAAAATAAATTGCTCAAACATTGGGGCATTAATCGTGCACTTGTGCTCCTTACTGCCGGGGCTAACTGCCAACATATGTTAATTTATGACACACTTTTGCTTTCTCAAAACTAAGTTAGTTAAATGGCTTTTGTTTTGATGAAGTAGCCTTCTTTGCAGGCAGGATCCAAACCATTTAAAAAGGTCCTGCTAGTGCTACTCTGAGTGCTTATCTAAGTGAACTGCAATTTTTAAAACAATGCAATTTTCCAAGGAGAATGATTTATGAGCCATGCATTACTAAGTGATTTGCATCTATTGTGAAATGCAATTTAAAGTTTCGTTAGTTCTCCGCTTTCTGTTGAGGTTCAACTAACGAGAGAAATACAAGTTACTTTCGAAGGCAAGTCACATTTTAATTGTTGTTGCAGACTGCTGATGCTGCTGTTTTTTTTTATATATGACCCCTGAAAGCTGCTGTGATGCCTTGCACCAGTCGAGTGCCAAGGAAGGAATCAGCCTGATATGGCAGCTAAGAGCGGAAAACATGGCGATGTTGCTTGCATGGCAATGAGTAAAGCAGCCAACATTTTTTTACAGCTGATTAAGGATGTTTTAAAGATGGTTTTAAAACCATATTTTGTATTATGTCATCTCTAATAACATAACATTCTATACTTTTTAAATTAATTTCCCAATATATGATAGGAAAACAAGGAAGGAAAAGACCCTAGAAGAGTTCGCATTTGTAGTTTTAAATCATTTTTATTGCTGGCAATATATTTTGTATTCCCCTGAGTAATTCTTTTCGAAATCTCTTCCAATATTTCACTGATAAATCGCATAAGTAAAAAATGAGAATAAATATATTGCAAAATTGCATCAATGAAAGAATATTTCTTTTGCTGGCTTTATCCCATTGTGTCCACACATCCTCCGATCATTTATCAAAATCGCAGCTTTTCCTTGTCAAAGTTGGATGCAATCAAGCAATTGCTACGGGGTATACGTATGCCGCATGCCGCATGCAGCGAATTATTCAATATTTTTCTTGTATTCTACATCTTGTATTTGCAATTTGTAATGCTCTATAAATCCATCAATCATTACATTCACTTAGCCACTTAAATTTCCACTGGTTTCGCGACAACTTGAGTTACTCACACACTTTCACTTGATTGCACTTTTCCGCAGTTTTCCGTCTTGACTGTTGTTCACTTAACGGTTTATCGCCGGCTTCTGGCGCCATTTCAACAGAGCGGACCGACACGAATGAGTTTTGGTCCTCGGCTCGATACCGATATCGATATGCAACCGGCATTTTTGACCAGCCAAACAGCTGTGGCAAGCTGCACGTGGCATCGTCACAAAGCTCTTGCCAGTAGGGTGGCTAGTCTAAGGGGAATGTGGAGTGGGTTTGTTTATGTTTTTAGTCTTGGGGCGAGAGATGGTTATAAAGTTTCAAGGAGCAGATAATGATAATATCAAAGAATCCAAAGATTGTTGTTTTTAGATTACACAGCTCCTGATGTATTAGATTTATAAAATGAGATCAGAACCGCTCTGTATCTGTAAACATTTTCCCATTTATTCCTATATTTAAATAACACGTATACGCAATGGTACCCTCGTCCTGCACGGCTTTGAAAGCTTGCTAAAATGTAGCAACATTTTTGGGTGGAGTTCCTAGCTGCACGCTCATTGGTTGCTGTCTCGGCTATGCAGATTTGTTGTTGAAACTCTTAACATAACTCTGTTAGCAACGCATACATTAACATGACAGATTACAGACTGCAAAAAACATAAAAAATCACTGTTGCTCTTTTACTCACTTGAATGTTTATTGCCAATTTCCCGCCGCATTTCCTCCGTGCGATTTTTCAAATGGGGCTCCAGTGGAAACTGTGCGAATGTCATGTTTTCGTTGCGCATCTGTTTTCCCAGGGATTTCATCATGAGGAAACATGTGTGCATCCCAGCCACACTCCGCTGGCCATCACGTTCGTAGTAGAAGATGGAATGTGACCAGTTGTGTCTGCAAAATGGTGTGAAAATGAAAAGGAAAATGAGTCACAAGCAGCGTTAAAGCGACTTATTTTTCTGTTTGCTTTTACAACTTACCGTTTCATTACATTTATAGTCAGTTCAGAGATGGTCTCAAAGCTGACCATTCCCGTGCGCAGTAGCATATAGAACTCATCGTTGCAATCGGTTTTCTTCTGCTCAAAGTCGTAGGTGGATCCACCCACAGAGATCAGAGGTGTGCCCTGGCTATTAAAGTATTTTGTAATCCGACTGACAGCAGCTGCAAATAGTTTGAGACTTAGATTAGCTAAAGTTCCTACTAGGATTTAGATGTCTCTCACCCAGGGAGTAGTCACAAACAGGGCCAAAGATCACCTGGGCACATTGCTTGATGATCCCATCCATGGCCTTGATCACGCCCAACGAGGCATCGCACTTGGTGTCATGGGCCAGCCACTCAAAGTCAATGTGAGGTGGAATCAGTGCCTTGGAGCGTATCTGCTGCTCGGCCACCTTTAGGATGGGTAGCACTCTCGGCAATGAGGCCTGATACATGTTGTCATCCGGCAGCAGGACCAAAGCGCGAATGGTGCAATTTTTCCCGTTTGCATTGCATATGGACTCACAGTCACGAGCCGGCTCAACCCGACACTCGGCCTGACAGCGCTCCAGGGTAATGCAGAGGCAGAGCAGACCCAGTAGGAAGAGGAACTGGCACCCGCCCATGGGGGTAGCGGTTGCACCTGTCGTGGGGAGGATTGAGGCTGGGGCTCTAATCAAATCAAATGATTTGCTACTCTGGTGCTCGTCTGCTGTGTCATGATGTAATCCCAATTGCCTATGAGCCGCCTTGAATTGGCTCATTTGCATAGTCCTTCCTTGGTGTCTATAAGTTTCTGCTGGAACTGTGGTTTCCTTCTCCAATTTCTCATGCAATCTCTGTCTCTCTGATTGCTTGAGGGCTCTTGTGACAGCTGGCGGCTAATTAAGTTGCTTTGATTGCGCGCATAATTGAACTGAAGTTTTGCCGCTGCATGTTGCTCTGGGGTTTCAAATGTGGTTGGATGTTGAGGGTGCTACTGCTGCGGCTCCTGTTGGTGTGAATGAAGTCATTGAAGTCATTAGTAGTGGCGCCTTCTCTGCGGGGATGTATACATAAATCATTAAAGTTTTAATGGCCTGTCCTTGAGGCAAGATTGCGTTAACGGGCATGTCGTATGCTTAATTTTGCGAGCCAAAAGATAGTTTCAAGTGGAAGTTCTGATGAACTGTTCAGAATTTGATTGCTATTTATGAAGGTATTATTTAATCTAATTAGGATCTTCTTGTTCTCAACATCATACTAAGCTACTCAAGACAATAAAAAAGTTTATTTTTGAAATAAACATTCCCATTTTCTTTCAGGTAATTCCATAATTAAGTATCGTAAAATCTACTCATCAGCAATGCCCGGAAGATCCCCAGTCATAAAAATCAATGTCTTTGCCCATCATAAATATCTTTATTTCCCATTGCAGCTATCAAATACTTAAGTAAACAAAATCGTTGATTGATAGCAAAGAAATAACCAACTTTATCTTCCATTGAACTGCAGTTTGTGACTTCCAAATCTCCAAGTAAAGAAATTCCTCCAGCTGCAATGACTATCATGTACGAGTATAGCCAAATTTATTGGTAATAAAATGTTCGCTAGGGACTTTAACAGCACAATTTTGGGTTCAATGAGTTGTTTTATGATTCGATTCAGTACTGATTCATCGCTTCTGATGTCCATAATTATTGGCTTGATTTCGATTGAAGTTGCTGCATTAGATAATGGACATGGGGTGCGCTATTGTTTATGCCAATTTCCCTGGAATTGTTTTGTGGACATTGCATGTGTGTCCCACGATAAGGCTACCATCAAGGGAATGTGTCGAATGGTAACATTCATGGAAATCTCATACAAATTGGCCCACTCTTCAAAGCGTCACATTATTTCTGTCAGCAATCTATCGTATACTGAAACGTCATAAAGGTAGAGAAAACTAACCGAAAAACAGTCCAGAAGCAGCAGCACCAGCAGCAACAACAAAAACGTGTCAAATGGCAGCGACAACATGCTCCCAGATGTAGTTAGGGGTGCGGTTCGGGTGATGCCTAATCTTATCTAATGACAAGCGGTAAACTTATGATTGCTGTGTATCGTCGAGAGTCGTTCAGTTAGTCATGCGGTTCGCATTGTCAATTCTCAGAGTATCTCTGACCCTTTGAACGATCTAATTGGATTAGTGGATGGAATTGAATGGACTTTGTATGGGATTGGCACACACACTTCAAGAGGTTTGAGATTCAATGATTCAGATTTAAAGTTTCAAGAGAGCTTCAAATATTATTTAAGGATTGAAATCAAATTTGAATAATGATTCAAAAGATTTGATTTGCATGAATATAAATGATTTTCGTGAGGGTTATTTAAAAGAAGAGTATTCAATGGGAACTATCAGGAAAGGGGTTTTTTCAGTAGTAGAATTTAATCAAAAAGGTAAACCAAGTTCGGTCTGATACAACTGTCAATATTCCATTTCGTTTAATAACATCCAATGTGTACTTTGGGTCATACTTTTGGGGACCACCAGACAATATTTCCCTTTGGGGCCGGTACAGGGCACTTTATCTGCTGTCCGACTGTCCGACTGTCCGACTGTCCGACTGTCCGACTGTACGACACAAATCGACGTGGGCCCGAACGAACTTGAGATTGCGTATACGCAGCTTGCTGTGGAAAACCCCAAGCACAAACTCGAGAGAACTGGCTGTTGATGATGATGATGATGGAACGGGGAACCCTGCGTATCGCTGAGCAAACAAAATGAAGTTGCGATCCAACATATTTTTAGGGGAGGGGGGGGGGGATCGGAACTGTCAGCAATTAATAAGAATTCATCACCAGACCCGCTGACACTCGACACGAACTGTGACAATGCACAAAATAGTGAAATATTAATGATATCAAATAAAAAAGAAACAAAAAACTCTATGGGTCATGTGCCTGCTGACAGTAACCTGCCGATATCAGTTGTTGGAACGAAGAAGAGAACTAATTTCATTTTGCGAAGCCCAGGAACAGAAACAGAAGCAGAATCAGAACATCAATCATTCTGGAAGCACACTATTTGCATTGATAGAAGCACAGAAATAGAACTGAAAGTACTACGAGTGGAAAACAAATACTCCACAGTGGCATTCAAGGTGCCTGTGCCGACGACGACTAGTGTGTGAAAATCAAATATATTTATTAACAAATTGGCATGGACATCATCGCAGGCATTCAGGCGGCTCTTATCAGCTTCAGGCTCAGTCTTTGGCCGAACGTCAGTTTATTTTTAGGCTCTGAACACTCTTAGCCAGCCCCCTGACTGATTGTGATCGTGCGCTGAGGGACCGACGACCGCTGACAGAGCCCAGAAATCGCGAAAATAACCGAGCTGAGCGAATCAATCATGTTCAGCGGCATTGCCGAACATGTTGCCACTCACGGTGCCCCGGAGCCCCGGAGCCTGACCATAAGCCCATCGAACTCGCTAAGCCCCAGCACTCAGACACACATGGACATAGTCGTCTGCGATTCACGGCTCTACTAGAGTATTACTATGTTCGGTTTTTGGTCGTGTTTTATCAGGCACTCAACTTGTAAAACAAATCTATGAGATTTTGGGAATTGTCTCGACATGCTGTCTTTATTTATGGAAAATAAACCAACTAAAAATAATTCCTATCAATAAGCAAATTTGTTGACCAAGAAATTGTGTTCCAGAGAATCCTCACAAAGATTTTCAGAGCAATTCCAGCTTTCTAATCAACGGCAATTGCTATTTATAACTGTAGTTACCCAGTGACAATAGGTTTTATAACATTATTTATATAAGAACTCAAGTAGAACAATCTATTAGATGTCAGCCACTTCAAAGCAAACAGATACTCCGCCACCCTGAATGCAATATCAATCAATTTATCGAAAATATATTTTTTTAACGAGCATAGAAGAACCTTTCGGGATCGAAGTGTCGAAAGACAAACCGTCTACGATTGAACCTTTTCGGAGTCTATTTATAGTAAATTGTTTATTTTGAATGTGCAATCAACCGCCGGACTCCCGCCTGCCGACTGCCGACAACCTGCCGTGTGCCTCGATAAGATTACGAAAAAGTTTGCAATATACGATATATGCGATATAAACTGGGGAAGTGTTAAGCCATATGGGAGATATCTGTATAAGGTTTTCGAACCAAATTATAATATCTTTGAACTTCGATGTGGACTGCCTGTAACCAGGCGAGTTAATTTGGGTTTATGTATCGGTTTTAGATCTCTTCGATTTGCATGAAACTTAAATATCCATTCGTCATATGCGGGAATTTGTTTGCTCGTATGTTAAGTTTATGTATTAATTATGAATTTTTAATGCCTGCATAATTTCGTTTAAATTTAGACAGCCATGCAAAACCATAATAGGAAAAGTAAACACATAGTTTTTCTGACACGTTTTCCACGTTGTCTAGACATGGGGGAAGAGAAATTTTAAAACTTTGCCCTCCATCAGAACGTAGGCCATGAATAGTTGTACCTTTAGTTATGTGTAAACAGCCTCTGAGGTTACCCCAGAGACCATGTGGTGGCATTTATGGCACGCCTGTTAAATGCCATGTAACGTGGCAATCAGCAGGCGTCAAACGAACCGTAATTAAATTCCCTGCTCAAGAGGATTTAATTAATTTCTGTTCTGTTAAAGTGTGCGGAAACTAATGGGGGAACATGAAATAAGAGATTATAAGGATTTATCACAAATCATTTAATTTAAAGGTGTAAAGAGGTTCTCAAGCTGGAAAATGAGATTGTCTCTAAATGGGAGGTAAAATTAACTGAAGCTTGTGTGTTTTCTTCCTCTCAGTATCCAGGGAAATTCTTTTAAGACACAAACAGAACAAATCCTCAAAAAGCCAGCCATTTTATGGTTTGTTTTTCTGTCTCGCTGGAATATTGAATCGCTTTCATGGTCAACTCAATTGGCTTGAAAGGTTATTTTTCTACTCCCACATATAGAAGAAACCATTTGAAAACTTACCACACAGCAAAAAACTTCCATCCATTGTGGGGCCCAACCACGAGGCAGGAAAAAGTCTTTAATCTCTAAAGAATTCCTAGCTTACAGAAGCTTAAACTGAAAGTTTATTTTATTTTGCTTGCCAAACCCTTTTCTACAGAAATTGTTCATTTTTCTTGGGGTATTGACTTACCAATTGATTAATTTGTATATTCAACCTATCACGTGGCTATAGCTATGGCCATGTTCGACCTGGGTGTGACCATTGGCCTGGCTCTGTACCAACACTATATATGCTCAGTGTGGCCTTTGGCCTGGAATATGCTGCATACTTCAGTGCGTCGTCAGCGGATGTCACTTTCACTTAGAAGAGGTTTGCAAACAGAGCTTCAACTTTATGCTAAACATGGCTAAAAAAGTCAACAAACGCAGTAAATTGCACTGAAAACGAAAAGGGAACTGGATAATTTATTTGTTTTTGCACAAAACCCGCAAATTGAATTTGGTCGAGCAGTGGTCAGAACAACAGTCAGACGGAATTAATGTAGTGCAGATTTCATTTTCTGATTTAAATTTTAAATGGGAAAATAAATCATATACTTTTCGAATTCAATGATGCAATTGAAGAAGTTCTAGAAAGGTTTTTGGGATGAATTCCGGCAAGATAAATTACTTTAATAAAGAGCTTCACATAGGGATCTTTGTTTGCATCGTACAGAAGAGAATATATTTTTGCTATTTTTTAACTCTCTTGTTAACTTTAATTGTACCTGAGTACCTAAGATAAATCTCATTTTGTGCTGACATTCGAGTCTTTCAACCCCCACATTAATTCATACCCAGTTAAGCATAAAAAGAAAGCTCTTCACTGGTTTATGCAAATTTAATGAAAACACAATTCGGCGTATGAGTAATATGCGTGCCAGTTACAAAGTCAAGAGAGTTGAATATTTTATAGATTCCGGCAAAGGGCTTACTACTACTTACGACTAATCAACCTAGTCTATTCCCTCATCCATAGAGCAATTTGCATTTTGGTACATGTCTTATTTTAATTTTGCCAATGGCACCAACATAGTTGCCAATATTTACCCCAGAGCAAAATGTTGTTTTGCACTCATTTGCTTTTATCCCAGACACATGGAGGGGGCGACGCAGAGAACAGAAAATCGCTTGAAAGTGCGAGAAAGTGAATTTGCATGAAATGTGGCGTTGGGGCGTGTCTAAGGTTGAGCAAGAGTGTTCTGTCAATGTGATGCCATCCATGGAAAGCGTTGAGACAACAAATAGAGATGAACGAGAATGTAACTTACGAATGCTTTTGTCTGGCAGAATATTTCAAACGTTTGCCAGATAACTATGCACATTTTTTAAACAGTTTTTCCTTCAGGCAATTGTTAGCTTTGTTACTGAATTATTTGTGTTTGGGAAATTTAAAATATTTTCACTGTAACACACTTATTGAGGAGTAAATATCGTTTAAAGTTTCTGGTGTAATTTTATTTGTTGCATTCAGCTGTATCTGCATTTAACACCTCCTTTTCGAAGATACTTTCATTGCTTTAACTATATACATTTATTTGCACATCTATTCCATACATTAACGCAATATTTGATGTGCAATATTTAACCTTTATTATTGTATTTTTTTATTTACATTTTCTACAGTTATATTGCATATTTCATCGTATTTTTGCTGATGATTTTGCACAATTTGACAGCGGCAAAAAACGGTTCCTGCTTCTTTTATCAACAACACAGTAAAACAATCCCGGACCAGTCACACCATTTCATGGCCCAAAGAATATCTATATAATTTCGCGAAATCAGCCGCATCTAAAAACGTACAAAATATATCGAGCGGGCAATTTGTTCCCATCGAATAAGAATTTCTTTTGTCGCCCGCTTCAATGCGCGCCCGATGTCGAAATTGAACTGAAATTCGCGGTCGCTGGGGTAAACTGTTCACTTTGTTATTTTTCCGCTCTTCATTATTGGCCAAACTATTGAAAAGCTCGACCAGAGACCTTTTTGTGGAGCATTTCACCAATGCAGCAGCACGCACACAAAGACACATATACACAAACTCAACAATGCTCCATGTTAGCTGATAAGAAAGCCTGCTGATAACAGCCGGCCTTAACAGTGGCGTCTCTGTTAGCCCTCTTCTGGGTCTGTTATCTGCAGCTGTTGTCGGCTGCCTGATAAGTAGGTGGGGGTATGGTGTGTGCCAAGAAACGCCCCCAATTAACGAAGTAACAATGTCTCCAAAGGTGTGAAAATAATACATAGTGTGGGCATAAAAAAAGTTCATAAAGTATGGGGAATGGTGTAGGTGCATCAAAGAATGTACAGAGATAAGACAGTGTAAAAAATATAAAGAGAGTACATTCTAGTTAAGTGTAAAGTAATTTGTTCTTAAATGAGCTTTATATTCTTCTTTGGCTTCAACCATTTCCTAGATCCAAGCCATTATTCTAGTTTCTTGCTTGGTCCTTGGTCCTTTGTTCTATTTTGTAATTTTCCACCACTTGATGCTTTTCAAATCGCTATTTCTTGTACCCATTACTAGTGGAATGCCGGGCTATATTCTGTTTGTGTGGACAATAAGAAGATTGTATTCTTTTGTAGCACAAACAATACACTCGCATGTTATCTTTTGGTCTGCATTTATCTGTCTTCGCTGTAGCAAAATTTGTATTTTTTTCCTCCTAAACTATTTCCTGTAATAGGGTATCCTTAATTGTAATATTTCGCTATACCACAATAGCACTCTAACATATTTTCACTTGCAAATGCTTCTGTTGGACACACAGCGCTTACACGCAATGTCATTACGGCCACATCGCTCATACGGCACAGCATTGTGTGCCAGAGCACGCATTTTGTCTGAAAGCGGTTTCTGGTCCGCTCTCTGCCTGTTTCCGCACCCGGCATGATCCTTTGGGAGTGTTGAATGCACAAAAATTAATAGCATTTTAAGCACCAACAGCGGCAGCAGCCGCCGTTTGAACGATGCTCGCAATTGTTGTTTGCCCAACAGGAAACTTTTTGCGTTCTCATAAGTGGGTGGGAATTGTGGGTGAGTGGTTGGAGGAGAAACAGGAAATGGTTATCAAGTGCGCTTAAATGCTTTTCCTGTTGTCCTGCTTTTGACTGAGTGAGCAATTATTGTATAATTATGATTTTATGCCAGTTTTTGCACAAAAGAAAAATGAAAGAAGGAATGCAATGAGAAACAGCTTAAAATGTAGCTGAGGATTGGGGATTGCTGTGATTATTGTGATATTTGGTCAAGTTGTATCCGTGTTGTTCATACGTTTATTTAATTATAATATCTCTTGTGATCAAGCGCTTAAGGCTGACTGAATGGGTTAAAGCTTTACAGAGCAATGTAAGTGAGTGTTTTGAGTGTATTCGTGAGTGTTCTCGTGTGTGTGATTCTACGCAGACATTTATAAGTATTCAAAGTGTATTTAGTTTCGGACATACATTCGCAATCATGAATACAAAATGAGAATATCTAACAATTATCATTTACTTAGAACTACATAAGCTGTGCATGTGTGTGTGTGCGTGTGTGTGTGTGTGAGGCAGGTGCCGCGTGCCACCATCTGCTGCAACCACTGTCGTCGTCTACTGGATGGCATTGCCATCATCATCGATCGCCTTGAAGATAATGCCATAGATATGATCGACCAGCTTGGCCCACGTGGCCGCTTGGCCCTCGTCCAGACTGCAGGCGGCGGTAAGCACTTCCAGAATTATGCCTTTCAGTTGCTGCAAAGATTTGAAAAGGATATTAGATATAGGCAACAATGAGAATATAAATATATGTCTTTTACATTGTACGACTCCTTGGAAATGGTACGGGGTATATGACTGACGGCTATCTTGGTCCAGATCTCTTCCAGCTTCTCCACATCCCCCTCCTGGCCCAGTACCCGGATGGAATCGTCAAAGACTCGTATAATCCGGCCAGCATGGGCCCGAAAACGTGAATTTCCCTGAAAAATAAAAACCAAATATTACCATCCATTATACTCATCCATTTCAGAGGGTCCCAACAACTTACACTTAGATCCTCCAATGGCACATCGCGGAAGGAAAATTTCTCCAAATTGGACGGAAAACGGTTGAAGAACTCCTGCAGTATAGCTGCACCCGAATCTGTGGGTGTTGCCACGGGTATCTCCCAGGTCTTTTTGATCACTTGCACCTCATCGCTGTTCATGTTTCTGCACCGCTTTGCTCAGTGTAAGTTTACTCTTTCTAACTATCTCTCGCTCTTCCTCTCTTTCTTTCAGGTGATTGCCTCGCTCTTTCGTTGGCTCTTAAGCTGAAAAGAGAGAGAGAAAAATGTAATCAAATCAATTATCATCTTCGCTCTCAGCCAGCGTCTCTCTTTCTATCGCAGATGAAATCAAAACAACAAACAGTGACTTATATAAATATGCGCACAGCACGTGCTAAAAGTCAATGCCTTCGCTATCACACGACAACAACAACAGCCTGGACATCAGCATCATTATTTCGCAGCACAAATTAACGTCTGTCAGTCTGAAGCCAAAACCCTTGCCCAAGCCCCCAACAACGCCTCTGCCCAAAACCCCCTTTCAGCATCAACAACAACAACAAGCCACGAGGATTAGAGATGACAACGTGAGTTGTTGATGGGTAGGGATGGCTGAGCATGATTAAGAGCAATACCTTTTTGGATAGAAGAAGATACTTTTCCACTGATGGGATTCCGATTCGGATTCGAATGTACTAAATAATCTAAGAGAATTTAGATTTAAAGGAATAAGCTCTTAAAATATTTATCTCTTAGCTATGAGAAACACCATTTAAAAATCGTTTTACGTAATGCACAGCCCATCTCTAATTAGCTTGTCGTAAAGCCATGGTCTGCTCTCGAGTTCATTAGCTGACCCTCTACCACTTCCCTGCCCTGCCGATTCCGCTGTCATGCCGTGCCGTGCCCCAGTCTGCCCTCAGCTGACCTCCCCTGCCTGCCACTGCTATGACTACAGTGGCAGTGGCTGTGTGGCACCCATCACCGTGGATACTTTGTGGCTGGCACTCGTTTACAAAAATTATCATACCCCATTCGCTGTGCCCCACTCGAGTGAGATGTGAGAGGTGAGAGTGGGATGGGCCTGACAGTGGGAGTGAAATTTCTCGATGCGGAAAACGGAAATGTAAACCGCAAGAGACCAAAGAAATGCGAGCAAATATGCGACAGGGCGGTCAGTCGGTCATTCGGCACCGGTCACTCCCATTAGACGTGATTATCGAGTGAAATTATTTCAAAAAGTAAATATGTATTTTTCGAAAAGCCATAGAGCATTTTGGAAAATGCAAATGAAGCAGAAGGCAAAAAAAATCTAGATTCCCACTCATTTCCATGCAAATCACAAATCAAGCTAGGAGAAAGGCATACATATTTATGAGCTGAGGAATCCACAGGAAAATTCACATTTAACAAACGGAATTTTAATGAATAATAAATAGAGATGAGTATTCCTGTTGTGGTTGTGCTGTGGTTCTTCGGTTGGCTTTTCCGCTTTTCTTTAATGACAGAAACACTTGGAATAGTATCCTAAAGGCATGTCGGGCGGCTCAAGGAAAGTTGTTTTAGTAAACTCAAAAGTTTATTAAAAATTTATAGACTGAAAGAGGGACTGAGAAATGGATAGATAAACTACAAGAGGGTGGAAGGGAAAAGCTAGAGAAATATAGAGAAAGGAGGAGAGGGAAAGAGGAAAAGAACAGTATAATAAACAGGCAGAAAAGAACAGGAAAATGGACTCAAGTGCAGCCGCAGCAGGTGGCCGACATCGTATTGTTGCTTGGAAAAGCCAACAAGAAGGGAGGGGGTAGATGCCAGTGCAGGTGGGGAAAGGTTGGAGGTGGAGGCAAAAAAGATAGTACTATAAAAAATTGTGCCATCTCTCAGAGTAACCTTGTCTACAAGACCCCCTCTGGGGCACAAATACACTCCAAGAGAGAGAGAGAGATAGAGGTCTGTGTATGTGTGAGGGGCGCATATGTCTTTCAATGTGTGTGTGTTTTGTAATATGCTTCATGTCCAAATGGCCTGTGGCTTTTGCGGTTGTACTAGCTCTGAGGGGAGAGTAGGCGGGCCAGGAGGCCTGTAAGTGTAAGTGTATAAGTGTTGCCCACTCTTTCTTCCTCCCACTCTCTCTCCTTCTCTCTCTCTCTCTCTCTACATATATATTCTCCTGTGTGTGTGTTTAAGTCGGCTGCAGTCAAGAGTGAAAAAAGGCAGCAACAAATCAAGCGTTCACTTCTGTTTTCTGTGTGTGTGTGTGTGCGTGTGTGTGTGTGTGTGCAGAGGCATGTGTGTGTAAGGACATTGAGCGCTTAATTAAATTAAGGCAAACTTGATGGACAGCTACTAGACAGACAGCCTGAGAGGGGGTGGCTGGCAGGCGGGCAATTGAGGCAGGTGCAGAGAGATGTTCTGTCAGCTGTAGAAGGGGGGGTGTGGCAACTGAAGGGGGTATGCCTGCAGAGGGGTTTACAGGTAGGTTCAGGTGTTGCTAAAGTGCCGCTCTAGCCTTGTGTATGCGAATGTATCTGAGTACGTGTGTCTGTCTCTCTCTCTGTCTGTATGTCTGTCTGTCTGTGTGATGCTGCCACTCAAGTGTCGCTATGATTTTGGTTGCAATTCTCTGCCTCCGTCTACCTCTCTCCCTCTATCTATGTATCTGTGTATTTATTTTATTTTACTTTCGAAAAACAACATTCTGTCGATTGCCAAGTCCCTGCATGAGGTGGACCTGAGAGCCATTGAAATGTGAGATCCTCTGGCATGAAATATTTTCAACAAAATATTTCTAGAAAAAAACTCGGAAACAAGTTGATTTAAATTTAGTTGGTAATTTAAAACTTAGTTGTGGAAACGGCACGAGGGGGAGTAGGATAGAGCGAGTTGATTGAACCCTGTAGGTGTGCGCCGGCAATTGTCGATTCTTTAAATACTGAAAAATAAACACAAAGTTTGGTATTATCCTTTCTGATTTAAGTGGCTTTATGGCTTCAAAAAAAAAACATTTTTTGTTATGAAACTTTCACGTATTTTACACAATTTTTCCGCTATTATCAATAGCCAGAGGAACCCATGGAAACTTCCAGAGTTATCCAAACACATTTATGCTTATTATGGTAATTTACCCTACAACTTGATTCATTTTACATAAAGCAAACATTCCTTTTAATAAATACTCGCACGGATTTAAACTGGCTTTCAAATTTCGCTTAAAGCAAACATCATCCACAGCCACTCACACACACACAGTAGGACAGCCATATGCTCACTCATCACAGACATTAAGGATAATGACTACCTCAACAACAGCAGCAAGAACAACAACGACAACGACGACTGTAATACCAACAATACAAATCTTCTCCTTTTGTTAGAGACGACACTTGTTCGCAAGGACAGCACATAAATCCATAAATTTAAAGACAGCTTTTTGTGCAGATTATAAAGCACTGTGGATCGTTGATACACAATTTAACTTTCTTTTGGTTTTGCTTTGTTTATTTTGTTATAATTTCATTGTGAAAATGATGTGAAACAAGGAGTCTATTGCGAATTGTTGTTAAGTAGTAAAGTTAAAAGCTCTGACACTAATTTACACACAAATAGACAAATATTTCATGGCTCTATCGACACTAATCTTTACACCGATCTATATGCGATTTTAAATGTAAGAAAGTGGAGAGCTCTCTCAGAGGGAGTTTAATCATCATAATAAGCCCAAACTAAGTTAAACTATTTAAAAAAGAATTGGTTGTCCCATCAGCTGTTTGCCTGTTGAGCGCTTCGGATTCGAACGATTATTTACAGTTGGTTTTTACTGGTCTTCCTTTTATTCACCCAATTCTTTCATAATTCCGCAATCGCAATCCACTATCGTTTACTGTGTTGGCTCTTTCTCTTTTATTTGAATGTGTGCAGCTGCTGCTTTTGCTTTATTTGTTTATTATTTTTTATTTGCAAAACTTGATTGGTTTTTTGTTGTTGTTGTGCCGTTTTCCGTGATTATTCCCGTGTCCGTTCCCGTTTATTCTGGCTCCGACCGAATAGCGGATAGCGGATTACGGATAGCGGATACCAGAGACAATAGACCGCACGATTTGCGTTCAAAAAGAATACTGAGCGCGGGTTCCGCGTGTACTTACTGTGCTCTCTGCCGGCACCAGAGCACGTTTTAGTGCGCGCCAAAACTGTACTGAGCGAAAGCTGGCCCCAAGAGAGCCCCCCGAAGACAGAGAGACCGAGCAGGTACAGTGGCGTACTTGCAGGGGGATCTAAAGTGTGCGACACCTGGCCGAACTATACGTATTCTGTACAAGCACAGCACGAACCTATTAGGATTGCTCTTATAAGGCAGGGTGTTCAATGGCACGTGCCTAAACCGACCAAAATTGGAGGGTATGCATACGCACACCACACACCATACAAAACGGAGTCAAGGGCCACCTGTGGACAGCAGAGTAGGCAAACTTTGGCTTCGGTAAAGTGCGCTCACAAAAGCTTTGACTAAGAAAAAAGAGAGCGAAAGCTCTTCTTATAGTTGCTTGGTGTGTAGGGCTAGCTTTACAACGGTTTTTCAAAACATATTTTTAAAGAATAATGCAAATTGGGAAACAAGACAATTATTACACCAATTATATTCGACACTCCATTTGTGGTAGGTTAAACACATCCATTATAAGATCAATATTTTTCATTTCATTCATATGTACAATTGAATCACGTGTTCAGCTTTTACATTTCTTAATCAAAAATTCAAAATGCTAATAAAAATGTTTGGCTTAAGACGCAAAGAACCAAATGCTAACCTGTTCCAAATAATACCTGTTTCTTACCTAACTACATAATATTTTCACAAACACATGTTACTACATCACTGTGTTCCTAATCAACAAAACAAAAAATGATATTTTAGACACTCCCCATGCATTATCAGCAACGCAGAAGCAGAGACCCCATCGGCTTATTGATACTACGCGAACTTAGCAAAAAAAAACCAAACAAAACTGATAGAAGTAAAACACAAACAAAATCTTTGAAAAATCGCAGAAAATTCTTAGCATTATCGTATGTCACACCACGCCGAGATTGTTTGTACAATGCAAATGAAAGTCTGGACAATTGAAAATTGTAAACATTTCAATTGGAAAATATTTACATTAATCATGGATACTCGTACAATGGACACTTCAATTTAATTCAAAGTCCGTTTACACTCACACAAGTTCTATGGTACCCCAGAGACAACTGCACACGACGCCGTTAAAATTCAAACTGAACAAAAATTCGAACCCAGACGAGCCTTTATAAAAGATTTTTCAAATGGACAACAGCAGCAACAACCAACTGAAAGCCAGAAACGAAGACGATGAACAAATACATACATAGTACGCAGTTGTAGCTCCCGAAGCCGTATCTTCGTTTACTATCAAGCAGCCGAAACATTTCGATGGGAAGGTGGAGTGATAGTGATAGGTGGGGGGTCTGTGACTGGTGATTGGAAAGTTCATCGTGTTGTTTGTCTATTTCGCTAGATAAGGTCAATATTGCTCGAGAGCATTCGTTCTAAGCAAACATATTCACTATGCTAATCAATCGAAAACTGAAGTTTTCGCCTTTAATTTGTAATCAGCAGAAATGATTTCCTAACCAAATGATCCTCATTGCATATTCTAGAAATTCGAATATTCATTACGCAAGATCACATTGACTAAAGCTGCGCTTAGTTGTGCAATAAAATATCCTCAAAAATAATTTCGCTCTGTAAAAGTATTCCGAAATCTTAGGGCTAAAGATAAGCTACTTTTAGTTGCACATTATCTTTGCATGAAAAACACTTTGCATTTCATTTAATTTTCTAATCAACTAAACACACAGTTCCACCAAACTGAGGAGATGTTTTGGTCAACAAACCTTGAAACTACTGCTATCTAATATACATACATATGACATATGGACCCACATTATCCACAGTGTTTTAGCTGTAAAAGAAAACATACTTAAATTCCAAAAATAACACCACTTAGAAATGTGTGTCTCCCATTAGATATTCGTGTTCAATTTTCACTTTTAATCGAGGAGCTGGCGTTTTCTGATAATGAATATTTTGCATGTTGAATTGACTCTTTATTTTTCTGAAAATATCGTTTGCAAATAAAAGAATTTTGTATGAATAATTAGCTCCACCTTAATTTTAATTGCATAATTATACCGCGCTTAGAATCAAATTTAAGTTTTGAATTTTTCTTATCACGTCAGAGCTTCCTGTTTGGGCCTGCCTCTGAGACAGACAATTGTTTAGACCCCAATTCGGGTGTAATTATAATGCAGTCGAGACGGCAATACAAATGACATGACACTCATATACGAAAACTTTGTCTAAACAAACAAATTGCTAATTTCATGAGCAAATTGTTTGTTTAATTCCCCGCAGTACACTCTGCGCGATTCCAGTCACGTTGTTGTGAATGTAGAATTATTTATGCGCCTAGGCAGAATTGTTTAAACGAGAACATTAGTATATGCTCGCCATATGCCATTCCTCGAGTTTATTATTTGTTGTAACGCCAAACAAACGAATATTTGCACCCATGCACAGAAGTAGCGGCAACTGGAGAACAACAAAATGCATGAAAGGCGAAACCAAACAGGTGAGAATGTGGTTAAGGAGATTACACTATGGGATACCCTGTAAACAGATATAAGTGTATGTTCAGTACACGGAAAAGTAGCAAAAAGAGAGCATTGAATAGAGTAATTCCGCCTATAAAGAATAATAATCATTTGCTTAATTCTGTTGTTCAACATCAAAAAAATATACCCTTGGTGCTTCTACAAGTACCGAACATAAAAACAACAGATGATCCCCAGAGAGTGCTTAAAAGAGCACAACAGAGTGAGAGAGAGAGAGTTATCCGATTCACGTGTGAGTGTGAGTAATAGGGAGAGGGGTAACATATTCAGCCATAGAGCAGGGCAGATCTCTGCTGGAGCAAAGCCCCAGTGGAGCTCTCAGTGGCGTTTTAACAGTTGCCACAGTCAGTAGTGGGTCGCAAATGACCAGATAAAACACGATCATACACAAAACGATACAGTGTAAAATAGAGAGAGAGAGAGAGAGAGAGAGGGAGAGAGAGAGAGCGAAGAGCAGATGCAAACAAAGACGGAAAAAACAAACTTTTAATTAATTATAATTAGATAATAATAATGGACGCTGAGCAACATAATACAACGAATACAAACAACAACAGCAACATCGACAGCGATAAATGCCAGAAGCTAAAGAGATTTGTGATCGTGGGGCTGCTCATCACCATTGGAATATTGAGTTGGCATTTCTATGGTGAGTCCCGCTCTTGAATGAATGTCTCTCTTTTGTCTGAAGAGTAAATTCGATTTCCTCTCTTAGAGTACTTCCAAAGCAAACCGCTGCCCAAGGCGCCCGATGATGTCTTGGAGCTGTCAAAGTCTCTCTATGCTGAGGAGACTGCCGTCAGTCCATTTCTATATAAAGTGAATCTCCAGGGCAAGACCACATCTGGGGCCCATGATGATAAAGCGCCAAAGAAGTGAGTAAATTAATCAGCCTATGATCTCATCTGATCTGTGACATTTCCTTGCCTCTAGTCTCTTTGAACTGCATCAGGATTTGCTGGTCAGAGATGCAAACTCTACTACCGCCCTACTCCTGCGCCTCTTTGACAACTACGAGTTGGATGTGGCAGTGGCCGAACATACCACCTCCGAACATGAACAGGAACAACATGACTTCCTGCGGACTGTAATGAACACGCGGATGATGAAGCTAACAATGAAATTTCTGGTGCACAAAGGTGAGCAGGCAGAGAGCACTTAAATAAACACTCTTACATGAATAGCCTCTAGATATTGTCAGCAGCGACTATGATGCTCAGCTGCGACTGCTTCAGGATCTATGGTTCACACCCTACTCTCGGGGACGCGGCATCGTGGGCAGCTCTAGTTTCGAGCACGTCTTCATGGCGGAAATACGGGATCAGAAGGTGCTGGGCCTCCACAATTGGCTTTACTTTGCGGACCAAGAGCAGCGTGGAAATATCGACTACAAGGGCTGGCTCAGCCACTTGGAAATGGGAAAGGTTCGTCATACAATGGCTTCACTCCAACAATGATAACGATTCCATTTCTGACTTGCAGCCGAATCAAATCTCCCTGAGTCTGCGGAATACCTTCCATGGCATACGAAAACCAGTAACCGGCTTCTTTGTTGGCACCTCACCCGAGCTGGAGATGAGTCTGTACACGGCCTGCTTCCTGGCCACCCCGGAAGAGGAACCCTGCCACATTCAGCTGGGCCATGCCCGCGTTTCGATTGTCTCCCACTCGTGGAGCTGGAAAGGCAAGCGGCTGATAGCCACCGCCTATCCCGACAATCTGCCCTAGAACCGGCCCACACCCAGTGTCGTCCTTAAGTCAATAAAATTAGTTCAATTCGTGTCTCAGCACCACTACCTCATAACACACAAAGCTACAAAAACCTCTAAGATCCAATGTCAAAGTCAAGTTCATTTTATTTTGCGCACTTTATGAGTGCTCTGTGGGGGGGCTCCACGAAGTTATCATGACTGTCATTACCAATCGCCAAACCAGTCAGTCAGGCACTGTGGGAGGCCCATTCGCCAGGAGGTGCCCTTGAAAGGGGCAATATAATGATGGCCAGCACGCCAAAGGAAGCTTTACTGAGGTGCCTTACAATCCATCTTCCGGGTGCGCACTGAAGGTTAAATAATAGTATAAATAATGCATAAACCTTTACTGTTTGTATTTAAAGTGGAATTACTAAACCTGACATAATGTGCTAATGAAAAACTGTCCAATAACTACAAGTTTTAGGATGATCCAAATTAAAACACTTTCTACAAAATGTAAATACTATTTTAGAATGCTTGAAACAAATTCTAGAAACATCTTCAAGTGTATTTAATGCTTCGATCTTTCAATGAAAGAAAACCCTTTCTGACTTGTCTTTACCTTTTATTTGTTTTGACAGCATTGCGTGGGCCTTAAATCATTAAGTTGTTTATTAGTTGTAACATTTATGTTTATTTCTTGA